GGTCTCGATCTCCTGACCTTGTGATCCACCTGCCTCGGCCTCCCAGAGTGCTGGGATTACAAGCGTGAGCCACCGTGCCTGGCCAATTATTATATTTTTTAAAAGCTGCCTTAAAATTATTAACTTAGAGGTGCTCCTATGTATTTCTAAGAGCTTTATTGAGATATAATTCCATAAAACAAACTGCACATATTCAAAGTATACAATTTAAATTTTGACATATGTCTAACATGTGAAAACACCACCACAATAATAATCACATATATTATTCCCAAATATGTCCTTATCCACTTTGTAATCTCACCCTCCCCATTCCACACTGACCCCAGGTAACCACTTATTTACTTTTTGTTACTATTCATCAGTTTGCGTTTCCAGAAATGTATATTACTGGACATACAGCATGTACTTTTTGTCTGAGCTATTTAACTCACCATTTTCAGATTTGGCAATTTGTGTCTTTTAAGCAATTTGCCCATTTCATGAAGTTGTAGAATTTATAGGCAGAAAGTCTTCATAATGTTTGTCTACTATCCTTTTAATATCCTTAAAATTTGGAGTGATATATTCTCACTCCTTTTTTTGATTCAATATTGAAATGATGTCTGATCTTACTCTTGATGTTGGTAATTTGAGTGTTCCTTTTCTTCTTTGTTTAATTAGAGGTTTACTAATTTTATTGATCCTCCCAAAAATTCAACCTTTTTGTTTTATTGATTTTCTCTATTGTTTGTTTTCTGTCTTATTTCTACTCTAATCTTTATTCTTGTTTCTATTTTGAACTTAATTTTCTCTCTTTTTTCTAGTTTCTTAAGATGAAAATGGAAGTCTTTGGTTTGGGAAATTTCTTTTTTTCTAATACAGGTGTTAATTGCTATAAATTTCCTAAGTATAGTGTTAGTGTTATCCCATGAATTTTGATGTTTGACACTTAAATTCAAAGTACTTTCTGATTTCCTTTTTAATTTCTTCTTTGACACAGGAGTTATTTAGAAATGAGTTATTTAGTTTTCAAATATGTTGAGATTTTTCAAAAATATTTCTTTTATTGATCTCTAATTCCTTTGTGGTCAGAGCACATACTTTATATAACATTAATTCTTTTAAATTTATTGAGATGTGTTTTATGATCCAGAATATGGTCTATATTGGTAACTGCTTTCTGTGTACTTGAAAATAATATGTACTCTGCTGTTGGTGGTGGAGTGTTCCATAAATGTCAATTATGTCGAGGTAGTTGATCATATAATTTAAATCATGTATATCCTTAATGATTTCCTGTCTAGTTGTTCTCTCTATTGAGAAAGATATTGAAAATTCTGACTATAATTGTGTAATTGTGTGTTTCTCCTATCAATTCCACTGGTTTTTGCTTCAGGTATTTTGAAGCTCCGATATTAGTTGCATAAATGCTTCGGATTATTACATCTTCTTGATTAATTGATGCCTTAATTATTATGTAATACCTTTCTTTATCCCTGGCAATATTCATTGCTCTGAAATCCGCTACATCTGATATTAATATATCCACAGCAGCTTTCTTTTGACTTGTGTTGTCATAGTGTATCTTTTCCGATTCTCTTCCTTTAAACTAATTGTGTCCTTATATTTGAATTGCATTTCTTGTAAGCAGCATATTATTTGGCCTTTTCATTTTATTCAGTCTGACAATTTCTGCCTTTTAATTTCATTACTTATACAAGTTACAATACAATAAGAGATTTAAGTAGTACACCTTTTACAGTTGTACCTCAATATCAGCAGAAGATTGGTTCCAGGCCTCCTCATTCACCGCTTGCAAATGCCCCATTCACCCCTTGCAAATACCAAAATCCTTAGATGTTCAAGTCTCTTTCACAAAATAACATAGTGTTTGCATATAACCTTTATATGTCTTCCTGTATACCTTAAATTATCCCTAGACTACTTATAATACCCAATTAAATGTAAATGCTATGTAAATAATTGTACTGTATTTTTATTTGTATTTAATTTTGTGTTGTTATTTTTATCGATTTTTTAAAGTATTTTTAATCCATTATTGGTTCAATCCACAGATGCACAACCCCTAGATACAAAGGGCCAGCCATATTTATCCCTGCAGTTACTATTTCTAGCTCTCTCTCTTCATCTGTTTTTGTACATCCATATTTTGACCTGGCATCATTTTCCTTCAGCCTGAAGGATTTCCTTTAACATTTCTTATAATGTAAGTCTATTGGTGATGAATTCAACTTTTGAAAACTTTTTTGTATAACTTTCATTTTTGAATAGGTATAGAATTCTAGAATTCATTTTTACTGGGTATAGAATTCTAGGATTACAGTTTTTGCTTCATTTTCAATACTTTAAAGAAGTTACTCCACTGGCATCTCATTTGCATAGTAACAATAAGACATATGCTATCTTTCTTATTTTCTCTGTGCATGTCTTTTTTTACTGATTGCTTTTACGATTATCTCATTATCACTACTTTTGAACTATTTGGCTATGATATGCCTTGGTTGTTGCAATGGTTTGAAGGTGTCACCAAAACTCATGTGTTGGAAACTTAATTGGATTCCCAATGCCAGAGTGTTGGGAAGTGGGGCCAAATAAGGGGTAATTGGGTCATGAGGGCTCCACCCTCATGAAGGGTGTTATCATTGGAGTGGGGTAGTTGTAGAGGAGGTGACTTTGTTATAATAGCAAAACCTCCTTCATATGGGCTCTCTTGACCTTCCACCTTTTCCCTTCTGGCATGTAATTACAATCAGCAGATGCCAAAGCCATGCTCTTGGACTTCTCAGCCTCCAGAACTGTAAACCAAATAAACTTATTTTCTTTGTAAATTACACAATCTGTGACATTCTATTACAGCAGCACAAAACAGACTAACTTGTTTTTCTCATGTTTCTTGTCCTTGAAATTTTTGAGATTCTTGGATCTTGGGGTTATAGTTTTCATTACAAAAGAGAATTTTTTTAGCCATTATTTCTTCAAATTTTCTTCTTTCCTGCTCTTCTCTCCAGTTTCATATATATTAGATTCTTGAAGCTATTTCACTATTCTCTGATACCCTGTTCATTGTTTAAATTCTCTTTTTATTTCTCCTTTTATAACCCTTTTACTGAGATAATTTACATACCATAAAATTCACTCTTTAAAATATACAATTAAATAACTTTTAGTACATTCACAAATTATGTAAACAAACATCACCATTATTTCTAATTCCAGAACATTTTCATCACACCAATAAGAAAACTCATACCCATTAGCAGTCACTCCCAGACCCCCACAGCCACTGGCAATCATTAGTCTACTTTCTATCTCTATTGATTTGCCTATTCTGGATATTTTATAAAAATGGAACTGTATAATATGTGGCCTTTGTGCCTGATTTCCTTCACTTAGCATAATGTTTTCAAGGTATACTCTTGTAGCATGTATCAGTACTTCATTTCTTTTTATTGTTGAGTAATCCAATGTATGAATATGTAATTTTTGTTTATCCTTTCATCAGTTGATAGACATTTGGATTGTTTCTACTTTTGACTATTATAAATAATGCTGCCATGAACATTTGTGTACAAGCTTTTGTGTGCACATATATTTTCATTTCTCTTGGGTAGAAATCTAACAGTAGAATTTCTGGGTCATATGGTAACTCCGTGTTTTTTTAACCTTTTGAGGAAGTGCCAAGCTATTTTCCAAAGCAGCTGGACTATTTGACATTTCCACCAGCAGGGTAGGATGGTTCCAATTTCTCCACATCCTTGCTAACACTTGTTATTATCTGTCTTTTTCTTATTATAGCCAACCTATTTGGTGTGAAGTAATATCTAATTGTGGCTATGATTTATGCGATCTTAGTTGTTAATGATCTTTAGCATGTTTCTATGTGCTTCTATTTCCTGTTTGCATATCTTCTTGGAAGAAAAGTCTATTCCAATCCTTTGTCCAGTTTTTAAAAATTTGGTTTTCTTTTTAATAAGTAATAGTTCTTTATAAATTTTGGACGCCAGACTCTATCAGATATATGACCTGCAAACCTGTTCTGTGGTTTCTATTTTCACTTTCTTGGTAGTATCCTTTGGAGTATGAAAGTTTTTACTTTTAATGAGATTATTTAGAGTCAATGAACATATTAATATGCATCCAATCTCATTCTAGATTAAAGATAAAGAGAAATAAGATTTTTGTAACTTAGAAGATTGGCAAAGATGAAAATAGGAAAAATTAAATTTATCATTAGCAAAGATTTGAGCACTCTCATAAACTCCTGGTGGGGTTTTAAATTGAACAAGTTTTCCAGAGACTATTTGGCAATGTATCTCAAAATCCCTAAAAACCAAAAACAAAACAAAACAAAAAATCTCTGTATCCTTTGACCCAAGAATTCCACTTTTAGAAATGTATCCCAAAGAAAAAGTTGAACAACTTTGCAAAAATTGATTTTATTACTGGAATGTTTATATAACAAGATATTAGGTGAGTAAAGTCTAACAATAAGAGATCGGTTAAATATATTCTGGTAAGCCATATAATAAGATACTATGTAATTATTATAAATGATCATTAAATTTTTTTTAATTTTTTTAAAGACAAAGTCTTACTTTGTTTCCCAGGCTAGTCTCAATTCCTGGCCTCAAGCAATTCTCTCATTTTGCCTCTCAATAAATGATAATTTTCATCAAGTTTCACCACCTATCATGTCCACAGGGTCCAGATGTAACATAAATGAATGAAAAGACTCTCTAGAAAATTGGACAGCATATGCCCCTTTTGGAGAGGGCAGTTTCAATTAATTGATGCCAAGCAAGAAAGTATATGTGTGGTGGTTGTGAGGTGGGGAGTGGGAGGTGTCCTCTGTTGTTAGATTATCCAGTATTTTAAAACACGCAGGACATTGAATTGTACGTAACATTTTCTGAATTTCAAAAGCTGTCTATTGCTTAAACATTTTTTTTTTAATGTTCAATGACCAAATAAAACACATCGTTTTTGGACTAGATTCAGTTCAAAGGCTTGGAACTCTAATGTAAATACACATTTATTGACATAGAAAGATATCCACAACATATTGTTAAAATTTTAAACACCCTGCTACAAACAGTTTATATAATATCTCAATTTTGTTAAAATAAAAGCATATTTACATGTATGTATAAACTCTAAACAGTGTCTAAACGGATATAAATCAAAATGTTAATAGTGGGTAATTTTGCTTTTCTGTTGTATATACTTCTCTATTTTTGTATTTTTATATTGACCATTGATATTTTATATTCAGAAAATAAATGATACAGCTCTTTGTATCTGTAGTTATAAAGGTAAGAGTTAATAGTCTGGTTTAAAATGTTGAGAATAAATTTAAAATCAAAATCACTAAGTATATAATCTTGCACATGAAATCAGACAGACCCGAGTTCAAAATCAGTTATTCCATTTATACCTCAATGGCCTTGGGCTTTCTCACCTGTAAAATGCCAGTGATAATACCTGTCATCACCACCTCAGATCCCATTGGTGATGTAAATATGAATAAATAAAAATAGAATTAATATCTAAAACACTACGTTCCTAGCATCACCAAATCTAAGTAGATAGAAGAGAGAAGGGGGCTTTTTCTACCACAGTTCAAGTCTAGAAAGGAGGCAGATGCTCCTCATAGAATGTAACAATGTCATGGAGGCATAATACACACACAAAAACGTTGTTTGTTTTTGCTATTCTATCTGGAGACAGCAACATCACAGGAGGCTAGACTTTTCCCTTGCCACTGCTCCACTCCCAGAATCCAAAGCTCCTCCTTGCTCCACATCTCACTCCTCATCTAGCAAGGACACCCAGTGGAATGAAGCAGAGTATGGCTGACGACCCACTGCCAGCAGTAGCATCAGATGAGGCAGAATCCATGTTATGTTTTCGAGAAGTGTTGGGTAGGTCCTAAATGTGAGTAGAGCTCTAGGACACATAAAATAAACTAGGGAAGCTACTTCCAAGGATTGGATTTGACTCTGGAGTAAATAAATGTATAAATATCGTTTGAGCATTTGCCATCCTTTATCTTCTCTTCCCGCCTAACCGTATATCCAGTAAAGACATGGATTTACCAAATGGAATTCAAGTAGATGAAGAGGTACACTAGTAAAATCAACCAATCAGCTGATGTGAGGTGGGTTTTGTTTCTGTCTTTAGAACCTCTTTTTCACCGCAAAGGGCTTAACAACTGCATTCCACTATTCCTCCCACCAGCAAGTTAAATAAAATAGAGGGTAAAGAAATTTTTTCAGGTCATTGTAGTATCATTGGAAACTTGCCTTCAAATGACTTCAGGTACCTCCTCCTCGAGTGCCCAGTTTTAAACCCAGGGAATAATTTCATCATATCTGGTCCATGGAAATAGCAAACTCTTTAAGATATTTTTGATGTAGTAACTCATTTTCATTAGCTTTGCTTTTTCAATTTGCAATAAAAGAAAACAATAAGTGTTTTTATCATATCTTTACTCTTTCAGTAATGTGCAACATGAATGTAATAGTGTTAAGAAGTCAGAAATAACTTAACACAGAAGCTATAGGAGATGTTTATATTTGCAAAATTTCAACAATTATCTTCTCTAGGTTTCCCCAAATTAGCATATTTGTTAATCAAATTAATTAAGAAGCTTTTCAAAATAAAAGCAATGTTTTAAATAAATATATTCTTTCATAACCATAGAACATCTAGTTCTGTTGGAGGTAACAAACATTACACTCAAGTACTTTATGAAGACATTAGGGTAAAAATTATCTAGATGCAATTATAAATGTACCCTAATTTGTCATTTCTTTTTGCACATATGCTTCTCTGTGTGTGTTAGGGTTATATCATAGATGTTTGGTAAATGGTTAGTTCTTCAATTATCACAAAGATATTATCTGACCCACAGAATTTATATCAGCTCAATGTGATGACATGATATTCTTTGAACAATATCTTTAAATTTAAATTTAGTACCCTAAATTACAAACAAATAAAGCCAAGACCTCTAAGCTGCCATATCTGTTACAGAAAATGAGTGCTAGACTCTCAGTTTGGAAGAATGAGACCGTCCTACAAATCTTGAAATTATACAACAATATTATTGTCACATCAAAATCCTAATTGCAACAGAGCTTTCAGTGTGTTTCAGAGTACCACACAGGTAGGTATAAATTCACCTATGATCAGCTTTTCTAGTGAAATAATATGCTTAGTAAATGACTACAGAAAACTTCCTAAAATTTGATTTTATTTAATAAATATTTTTTAAAGTTTTCTAACTGAAGAAATGACTTTGCTAATCTTTCTAGAAATTCTGATCATCTGTTTAATCTTTCATTCACTTTTATTTCTACTCTGATTCTTAGGAATTTTTCTAATCTATATTTAATCTACCAAAACATCTATGCTTTGATAAATTTGGCTTCCTTCAATAATAAACTATGCTATGATCACTAAATTAAATGTCAAAGGCAGAGAAGTAAAATTAAACACAGCGACAGGTTACAGTAAGTGCTCTTCAGAATTTCAGATGAACACAATTGTCCCAAAATGATCAAGGAATAACTCACTAAATGAATAATGCAACACGGAATACATTGTAACAGAATTTCTCTCTCTCTCTCTCTCTCTGCCACACACACCCACACACACACACACATACACACACACACACACCCTCTTCCACAGGCATCCACACAGGGGTGTTGACACTTGTCTCAGAATTTAAAATACTGATACTAAAGGCTTTAATTTAGATAAATTAACTACACTAAACTACTGACATTGTGAAAATATCTATATCCAATACCCCATAGAGGGCATGATTTTGTGAACTTCTAAAACATTTAAAGAAAGAAAACAAGAATGAGAAACCAGAGTCCTTGATAAGATGGGTGAACGTGTCAATAATGCCCAGTCACAGCTTCCCATTCTCCTCACTGCTTTCCTTCTCCTCTATGGCTTCCAGGCTGCGCTTGCTCTTGGCCTCAGCACTGCTGCTGGGGGCTTTACTCAGTCCACAGGACAAGCATGCCAGCTGGATCTGCTTCATGTTTTCTAAAGCTTCATTCTTGGCATTCTTCAACAGATCTCCTTGGCCCTACAAACAGAAAAAAATAGGTATGAAAGAAGACAGTTATGGGCCAGGAATGTGCTGAGTGACATCACTCTGTGTCCTTACTGCCCATTGCTGAATAAGGAAACAGACCCAGACCTACAAGCTCACTTTTCCAGGGTTTAACCCAAGGTTCTTTTCTAACATTATTAAGTGACTTTGCTTGTTAAGCCAAGTACCTCAACCTGAGCCTGACCAACTGGCTATGTGGTTGCTGGCAGTCTGTTGAGATTCTTGTTGTGAGGAACCCTCCTCTTTATGTGCTGAGGACATCAACTCCTCCATCACCATATGGTGTGAGACTCTGCACACTGCTGCAATACCTACCCCACCCAGATCCAGCATTCCTAGTCTCGGGAGAAAACAAGGAAAGAAGCTCTTCCTTAAAGAAGTGAAAATAAAATCTCCCCCTCTGTACAAGAGCTTACAAAGCAAAGTGTCTTCTGTAAAGTCACATACCCTTATGCTTGGTGAGCTGGTTTTTAATATACTGGGTCATCCTTGCAATCTGCCTGTTGTTAAATTATTAGTTACCCACATTACTTCTGCCTTTCCCGTCATCCTGAAGACGATGTTCCCACCTGGCAGATGGAGAAGAAGAATCTACAGAAGCTCAACATGTTAATCAAAACAAAAAGGAAATGAAGATTACAGGAACACATTAGCTGTCATTTACATCAGTGCCCAACAGAGCTCTTTTCCTGCTATTTTTATTTCTTATTTTACTTCATTGTTACAATGGTAAAGTGCATATGCTGGTACTGGCCCAACGGCTGAAGGACTGAGTGTGGGGGAGCGGGGACAGGTGTCTACGGTGCATAGACAGAGGAGGAAGTAGCTCCTTCCATCTCCTCTCCATTCTCACGGCAATGCCTGAAAGTGTGACCTTGAAAGTAAAGGACAATATGGAGGATGTGGGGTTATGACGATTGCTGGAGCATTATTCTACAAAGCAGAGGGTCAGAGAAAGGATAATTCACCTATTTTATGAAAGGCCATTCTATATTTTTAATTTGATAAATGTTTTTTTCCTCAGGATGTACGAAGAAACTTGTATTTTACAAAAGCCTGGAATATTTTATTTCTCAAAACCTAAACGTGCACCTGCCAATTCTATCCTTTGTAAAAAAAAAAAAAAAAAAAAAAGCTAAATCCTTCTAATAGCAGCTTTTAATTATATGGGATGATTACATAGTTGGGCTTTGCCTGATGTTTGTGTTAAAGCGGACTTCTTCTCAAGTACATCAATTATGGTATGGGATTTTGAAAGAAGAGTTGGAGGTGGATAGTTCTGCCTTCTCATGAGGAGAAATGAAGCTGAGCCTGATAAGGTTAATTGACTGCCCAAGGTCACATCTGATTAATAGCAGAGCTGGGACTAAAGTTCAGGCCTTCAGCCTCCTGGATCAGTGCTCTATTCCCCACACCATGTTCACAATCTAGTCTGAGACTAAAGACTAGAGATTAGAGCCTAAAGACTCTGTCAGTGAGAGATATATTTTCTAAAGAAAAAACATCCACTATACCAGCAGACTTTGGGAAGTCTGTTCTTAAACAGGTTAGACATCATGAATGAGTCTGCTCAACAAACCTGCACATTCTGCACATGTATCCCAGAACATAAAGTTCAAAAACAATAAGTGAAGTCACACCCACTTTGAAAAGTGCAACTCTTCAGCAATAATAATAACAGACCAACATATGAAGCACTTGCTCGGTGTGGTAACTCTTTGTGCTTTATATATATGCATTCAATCATTCATTACAACATCCCTATGAGATAGGTACTTTCATTATTCTCAATTTACTGATTAAAAAAACTGAGGCCCAGAGCACAATCACCCTTCCCAAAGTCACACAGTTGCTAAGTGGTAGAGCTGGAGCTTAAAGTCCAGCAGCTGGCTCCAGGGTCTATGGTTTTAACCACTACCTGATAGGCATCTTTTAACAGCAAAGCAGGCACTCTCTGCAATGCACCCTAAAGACTCCTATTCATTGTTACCCATGGAAGCAATGCAGATAAAAAGAAAAGTATTGCCCATGTGACACAGCCTGACACAACTTAGAGATAGCATCCGGAATCAGAAGACAGGGCAGAGCAAGAACACACTGGCGGGGACGAGGGTCAGAGCATCTTCCACCAATTTTTATCTGGGCCATTTTCTCTTCTGCAAAAATGATGAAAATATCCTTCAGCCTTCCTCACAGTTCTAAGATTAAAGACAATATGTTGAAGGGCTCTTTATGATTTAAATGATCATAAGTATAGGAATCACAATGCTATAAGGTGATTTGGAAAGTGGTTAACATTATCTGCTACTATATATGATAAGTATCTTGGTACTATCTATATTTTATTAAGAATTTGACTAATATTTAAAATGCATCTACTGGAGTCTGTTTTACAGAGATATGTATAATGTATATGTACTACTATTTTTACAAATGGAAAGATTCCTTTAAAAATAATCTATTAGTAATGAGATTATATCCTCCTTCATTTTCAGAGTATTACTTTTAAGTGTTTCCTTTTCATTTAGTTTTGAAAGTTTCATCAAGCATTTTAAAAGCATAGCAGTAGAAAAACTGGCAACTTTCCTAATTGCAAGAGAACAGTGAAACATGCAAAACCATCATTTTATCCTACTAATGCATAAAGTTCTCACATCCCCTTTTCCCACAACATTGCATGAAACATATTTTAATAATCCAGAATGTCGTCTCATTGGTTCTATGAGGTGGCATCCAAATGCCAGACTGTGCCATTTCTGGTAAATAGAAGTCAGTCTCTGTAGAAAACAATGGCCAATGGGAGAAAACAGTTTGTACCAGGGCATAACTAACACAGCTACATCATCTCCTGATAACCCTGGAGACAACACACACTGGCTGTCCCATACAGGCAGAAAAAAGTCGTTAAACTATTAACTACTAAAAGAAGCAAACATGAAAGGCTGTGTTGTGAAGAGTGTACATTGAAACACCGATATAAACTTTTGTTTTCTCTTTTTTTGTGAAGGAGAAATAGCAGTCATCTTTCTGTTCTGTGGTTCAAGGAATCACAACCTGCATCTCTTCTTTGGATCTTCCTAATCAAGGCACCAGAACCAGAAAAGACACATTCTGGTGAAAATCGTAGAGAGGGCGAATTTGATTGTTAACAACCACCACCCAGGCATTTTCCTTTGGCATGCTGACTTTTTCCCCATTTTATACGCAGCAACTTTCCCTAATCATCTAGCAATCTCTTTCTCTCTACTCTGTCACAAACACCCCCAAACTTCTCTTAACCAGCCAGCTTATACCAGATCTCCCTCTAAACATCTTTGTCCTGTATATCATTTCCTCCAAAATGTATTAGGTACGGCAGGTATCCCCAGCCCTGGGCATGGACTGATACCAGCCCCTGTGACCTGTGAGGAAACAGGCTGCACAGCAGGAGGTGAGCGGTGGGTGAGTGAGCATTTCTGCCTGAGCACCACCTCCTGTCACATCAGCGGAGACATCAGATTCTCATAGGAGTGTGAACCCTATTGTGAACTGCACCTGCAAGGGATCTAGGTTGTGTGTTCCTTATGAGAATCTAATGCCTGGTGATCCGAGGTTGATCCAGTTTCATCCCCAAACCATCCCCCGACACGCCCCACGATATTCAGGTCAGCCAAGCCATGTAAAGGTATTTGTCTGTAGTATATATTTAAAAAATAATCTAACAAGTCACTCTTAAGAAAGTGTTTTAATCTTATTCTCCCTAAACAGAGGTCTTAGGGGAAGAAGAGGAACCCCGGGAGAATTCATTTTCTTTGGCGATATAGAAATGGAAACACTTCTTGTATACTAAAATAAGTTTAGGGTTGTTATGACATGAAATGCAGAATTAATGTATGAGTTGATCACTGAACACTCAACTTGAAAAAAAATGTGAAGCTGCTGCCGGCATTTCTATACTAGCAATCTCATGGGGATTTGAAGTATCCTCTGGTACTGCAGATCCTTCAGGAAAAAAAAAAAAGAGAAGGATGCTTTAACTCAAAAGAAAGTAAGGGTAATAGAGAGCAGCTCAGGTAGATTGATGCTGATGGGACAACAAGACTAACAGAACTCCCAAGAGCAATGTCCACCATTTAGCCTCCACAGTGATTTGGCTTCTGGATGTAAGGCTCCATTGGCAGGTCCAATACATTTAGAAAGTGACATGGACTCATGCAAAGCCACAGAGATCATTATAGAAATTCTGAATTTAAAATGAGTGATGATTAGTGAATATTTAAAAAACAAACATTAAGCATTCCTTATTAAATCTTTCCAGCTGCATTAACTTATAATTAAAATACATTATCTAGAAATCAGGAAATAACTGATGCAATTTAGATTGCAAATTGAGCTGCCATGCACTGCTGTGGTGATGTATCTCCACAATTTTGATTACTACTAATAAATTTACTACTGACAAGAAATATTGTCACAACACTAAACAGCAGCTAACATTTATTGAACACTTAATATACTAAACATAAACCAATTCACACACATCTCATTATATCCTAACCATAAAATAAGGTAGAATTCTACACGTAAATTATCTTTTAGTTATATATCTTATAATCCATCAAAAGCTGTTTAGGATTTCTGTGACTTCCATTTTTACCAAGAAATGCAGTCCTCCTCCCACCACCACTGAAAATGGTTTTGGCTACAAATCTGGCAGAATTATTCACAAAA